CTTTCAATTTCAATGGTAAGTCACCAATACCACGTGGATTTACCAATCTACTCCTCCCCCTAAGCGAACTCCTACTAATGATCATGCTATACACATATTACACATATTATACAATTCAATCAACATTCATATCATATCTCATCCATAATTATATTCTCTCTACCAAACAACACAAACCAATTATCATTGATCATTACCATAAAAAGCATGTTCTCAAATATCAACATTAGTCATAATTGAGTAAACATTTATATTATTTCTCCACACTCCTATACAAAATTCAAATCACAATACATCACCTTGCAACATTTACATCAATGCGTTCTCAAGCACCTGAATGAATTTTTTAAATAATTTAGTTCACAAAAAATAATTAACATACAACTATACAAATAAAGTTTTTCACCTAAACTCAAATCCTAACTTTAACCTTCATAAAAATGGAATGAAAGGGGACGGAGAAGTATAATATACTTACCTTGTGTGTTAGGAAGCTCCAGAATATCTTTAATAGTTCCTAAATTTGTGCCCTAGCATAGAAAACCTCGTGCCTTTCATTTTTTTTCCTTTTTCTCTCCTCTAGTTTTTATTTATCTTATATAACATCCTGAATTTCTTAATCTTGTGATTAATTGTTAATCGAGAGTAAAGTGATAATTAGTGTGAAATTAGAGATTTGGATGATTACTTGATAGTTTGACATGTTGGGATATTATATGAATAAGTATGGATAAGAGGAATGTGTTTTGGGTCAAAGCAAGTACACGTGGTGAGAATTATTTCCATTATACCACATGCTGTGGCTTGTGCTGTATATGCCGCGGCAAAAAATGACCCCCCAAGTCATGAATTTTAGGTGATTTTTAGAAGGGAGAATCTAAAAACACATGAAAGGAGAGGAAAGAAAGCTGAAGTTTGCTAAGACAAGCTATTTCGAAGCAGTGAAAGGTGCTTCTGATCGGTTACTTAGGAGGTAAGCTACGTATAACCCTTACCTTTCGTTCTACACAATTTTCTCTGAAAATGAATTAAAGAGAAATTGAATCAATGAAGTTTTAGGGGTTTGATACTTGTTCAATAGTAACAAAAAGGTTCTCAAGAGTTAAATTATAGTTTTGCGACTGGTTTAAAGTTGAACAATAAAGCTTTGAACCCATAAGTTTTTGGCCCTAAGAGAAAGAGATTTTAGGGTGAAAGTCTAATTTAACTAAAATGAGACCGGTTGAGGTGATGTAAAGTAGTAATCGAGTAGTAATGAACTTAAGATGGATAAATGAAAAAGAATACACGACTTAATAGTAGCTATAAGTTTTTGGTCAAATTAGACTAAATGACTAAATTGTGCCAAGTGTTTAGAATGGCATATTGAGCATGTGAGGCTGGAAAGGAAGCTCCTGATAAGCTATTGTGGTAGTTGAAATCCACCAGTAACTTTTATAATGACAAAAGGGTTAAGGTAATCAAATAAGTTTATTTGTTTGACTACTTATTGTAACTGTGTGTGAGTATGCTATGTAATGCGTAAAAGTATTTTGAGCTAAGTATGTTTTATAGCATTATGTGATTGTTGCATAAAAATGGCTTTTGAGTAAAGAAATGAGTAAGAAAAATGTGATTTCATATGGCATGTATATATATATCTGTTATGCACGAAAAAGTATATAAAGTGGTGATTTGGAACCTATGTAGTTTGGAAAGCATGATCATAAGGGTAGGAGTTCACCTAAGTAGAGATGTGATAATAAGACCATATGGCATATTCTTCTTAATGCCCAACGGGATGCAGTGTTGGAAAATTATACCTTCTTAGTGTCTTTCAAGGTACGGTGTTGGAGAAGATCTCTTTAATGCCTATTGAGGTGCAATGTTAGAAATATGGGACTCCTTAGTGTCTGTGTGATACAGTGTTGGAGTCAACAACACCTCATTGTGTGTATTAAGGGAAACCATAGTCCAGAAGTGAGATAAAACATCTTTGGCTAGGTGAGTCTACTACTAAAGGTGAGTTGAGGGCCAATGAGAGTGCATGTTGGTCTAACGCAAGCTTATAATTTCGTGTCGGGGTGATTTGGAGGTTTGGTTGGTAGTAATCATATTATATGATGCAATATGTTGTATAAGTGAAAAAGTGGTGATTAAAGTGGTAAAAGAAATGAATTGAAACTTATGGTTTTGTATTGAAATGGAATATGTGATTATGTTATGATTAAAGATATATTATACTTTACTTTCATATAATTGCATGTAATAGTCAATAAAAGTGAGTTATTTCATTACTGAGATTTTTATTTCACCCTCGTGGTTACATTTTTTACAGGACAGGACAGTGATTAGGGTAAGGGGAGAGAGATAGGACCGACATAATGGTGCCGTTGTCATGGAAGTCTTTGAGATTGTGTAATAAACTAAGAATTTGTATATATGTGGTGAAATGAATCAAGGGCTAAGATTTAGGTATATATGTGTTGAAAACGTAGTGATAATGGTGAATCTTAAGCCCATATGTGAAATTATGATAAATTGAGTAATTTGAGGCTAAGATTGAGTAATAAATATGTTGTGAATGTGATTTTATGTAAATATGTGTTGAGAAAAGGCCAAGTAGGCTATGTTGTGTCAAGTAATGGCAAATTGTGAAAGTTTATGAAATGTAAAAATTGACTATTGATAGGTCAAATTTCAATATACATGTATGTTTGGGATATATTATGATAAATCAAATGTATTAAATCCTTTTGAACTTGATTCAAGGTCTTATGTAATCTAATGAAAGAAACGGATGAATTTAAGTGCTTAGGTGCGCAAAATTTTTGGAAAGAGTGACATTTTGCACCTGGATGTTTAAATTTTAATCGGACTATTAGATCATGTCCAAACATATCTCATTAGCTAGTTTATGAGATAAGCTTCTTGTAGGCGCTTGGATTACTCCGATCGGACGTCGTATGTGAAAACGATGCATGTCAGAAATTTGTCATTTTGTTGTCAAAATGATAGCAGAAATTTCAGACAGGCATGCTGCAATGCATGGTGTCTCACCTCACTACTTATGTCACAAATAATCAGGCGTGTAGCTTTGTGCCACATTCCACATGCCATAGCATACATACTGCACACCACAGTGCATGGCCCATTTTTCAACTTGATTCTGTGATTTTAAATGCATGCAATTGGTGATGTGAATGCATATGAATTTCTTTCATTATGTGTTACTCAAATGTGTTGTGGATTTCAATTTGCAAACAAGTCTTTAGCCAAAGCTTTTCAAACAATATTTGATTTTTGATTGGTGTCATTGATGTGATGATTCTGTTAATCTTCTTCCGTATCTGGAAGATATGGTAGGAGGTTACATTTTGCAACTAGTATATCAAAAAAATTGGCTGGGTAATGCAGCGGCGCATGGTATAGAGAGGCCCCGCTCACATTGATTGCCTCTATGTACTACGGCGGATGTTCCTTACACCACGACATATGGTACAGAAGGCCTTTCTTCTATACTCTCTCACCTGTTATGCTCGAATGGCCTGACTTCATTTCAAACTCACATCTAGGGCTAAAATCACAATCAATTACACAAATTAGACCTCTCTGGCCACACACCACATTAATTCACTTAATTATCTTCTTTTACTTAACTAAATCCTAATTAGTTTTTTAGGATGTTACAATATCTCTATAATTAATCAAAGTCATACTAGTCTTATTTCATTTATGATCCCTCATATATGACCGATCAGGAACATTTAGGACAATCACTATAATTTGTTTAAAGATAAAATTATCATAGTGAACATGCAATTAATATAATAATAAAAGAGAATTTTATCAAATAACAATATTCATAGTATAATGATTGGTCTTAGGGCACAATTTCCAACAAAAAATGACATTAAAGTATTTTAAAATTTAAAAACTCGAGATTTTATTTATGTAATTTTCATAAACTTGGTAGTCTATCAAAGCTAGTCCCTTAGTTACCTTAGTTAAATGGCATTGATATAAGATTAATAAGGATGGCCTTACACTTAGAGGTTTGAGGTTTAAGGTTTGATATTTGGGTCAATGGGTTTAGGATTTTAGGGTTTTGGATTTGGGGTTTTGCAAATAAGAGGCTTTGTTGTGGAAGCAGGGTCTCTATATAGTTGGCGGCAATGGATCGTATATTTAGCTGCGATGTAATATCCTTCGACATTAACTTTAAGGTTGCCCTTATTACCCTGGGTACATAACCAAATCTATCACAATAATCAAAAGACTAATCCAAATAGATCACTATAACTTGTTTGAAAACAAGTTAACTATGGTTAAGATAATAATTTATAGTAGAAAAAAGAAGCCACTCAGACTAGGCCAAGTATTCATCTAACCTTTCAAGTTCAATTTTTCAATCTTTTAACCATGAAAGAAATAAAAATGAGATCACAAGTTTTCAATAGTTAACACAATATTAAATCAAATAAAATTAATGTAAATTAAAGTATAAATATTTTTGAAAACATGAAATATCAATTGATGCTTAATTAATTAAAAATGGGTTGAAAATACCGAAACTCTAAACCTTAAATTTCAAACTCCAAATTCGACACCCTAGATCCCAAACCCTCTAGAACCAAAACCAGCAATTGTTGTTGGCCGACTTATTTAGTTATTTATTTATTTATTTTTTGTACCTAACCATCGTGCCCTATCGCCTATCGGCATGTTGGGTCTACTGGTTTAATGGGTTCCTGAAATCTCGAGCTTCTCACCACACATCCTCCGCTCGTAAATCTTTTGTTAATCATATGAGTTTGTTTATACTGATAAACCACCGATCGACCAAGGACAAAGTGCACGGAAAATGACCATTTCGTCCCACAAGCCTCATGTACCCCGCACACCGCGCTGCGTCTTACCGGAAGCGATCTCCAACGACACTGTGCCGCAGCTTCGCCGTTGATTCTGCTTCCAACATGCAGCCGGAGTCCGCGGTGCTCCTCCGGCGGACTCTCACCGTCGGGTTATTCTTTGCCACTGTTTCTCTCTTTTGCTTGGTCCTTCTCAGGGATGTAGACTCATCCCGATTCCTCTCGCGTTTCCCCTCCTCTTATTCTCTTTCTTCCTTTCCGATCATTATACCGTCGGCTTATGATTTCTATGCCGTGAGTTCCTTTGCTTCATGCTCTTCTTCTTTTGAGTTACTGTGGAATTTAATCATTTGTTTTTATTACCGTGAATGTAGCTGCGCCAGCTGTTGTTTTAATCCCGTTTTGATTGCAATTTTTACTCTTATACATTTTGGCATTTCGGTTAATTCTGAAGATTGCCATTTATCAACTGTATTGAACTGTTCTGTTCCGCTTTCAGATTGAGGGGCTTGAAAGTTTAGTTAAACTCCTAAAGGTTGAACTCCGTTCTAAACCACTTAAAAGTCGTGAAAATCACACACTTTTTGGCTAAACTTTGCATTATCAGCTTTGCGTGTCTGATATTTTCGTGGATATTTTCGTTTGCCCATGTTCCCAAACAAAGAGTTTGATTTTTTTGAATTCTCAAAAGAGTGAATAACTACGCTAGTCAGTGATGTTTTCTGTTTTTCTCTTTTTCCCCCCGGATACCAGATAACATTCAGCTTTTAAATGACATAGCTGCTTCAATATTCCAAGATTAACGGGTGTTCATGATTTAGATCATTTCTTATATTGCGATAACAAATAGCATTTGAGTGTTATGCGATGTTTTATTAGAATCAGGTTGCCAATGAAATATAAAGACCGCAATATGAAATGTCATAGCTGCGCCAAATCAAAAAGGTTGATGACAATTAGAGGGAGGCGGGTATTTTTGTACTTCTTTGTGTTGCTTGCTTGTTGAGTAGTCAAACGAGGGAGGAAGCTCTATAACAATATTTAAAATGGTTCTGGATGTGCTTTGACAATTAAATATGGATATGCTCTAGGTTTTTACTGCGTCCTGGGATCAGCTCTTGTCAAGGTACATATATGATTGGATTTTCTAATCTAACCCATGTCAGTATTGACTGTAATTTATTGCCCATACTTTTGCATGTATACTGCCATTGAATTGAAAAACAAATGCAGACTACAGTTTTGGAAAGTAATTCTTTCTTCATCAAAAAATGTTAAGGAAGTCTATGCTTCTTGTGTTCCCCCTCCTAATTGCCATAAGATACATGTATGGCAAATACTTGGTAGTTTTTTCGCTGCAACAATGCAACTGCTAACATTGACTTGATTTCTTAATCTATCTACCACTTTGAAGGATTATTGATTTTATCTCACGCTTCATTTGTGCAATGTGTTTAAAAGGGAGGGAACCCATTTCTTTTCTTCTGATTGGCATGTTCGTCAGGTTAGCAATGAATATCCACTTGAAAAGATTTTGAATGAGGCTGCTATGCAAGACAAAACTGTCATCTTAACCACTTTAAACGAAGCATGGGCAGCACAAAATTCAGTAATTGATCTTTTCCTTGAGAGCTTTAGAATTGGTGATCACACCCGTTGGCTTTTGAACCATTTAGTGATTATCGCATTGGATCACAAGGCATTTGTACGCTGTCAGGCTATACATACCTATTGCTACTCTCTTGTTAGTGAAGGAGCTGATTTTCATGAAGAGGCATACTTTATGACTCCTCGCTACTTGGACATGATGTGGAGAAGGATTGATTTCCTACGTTCTGTTCTTGAGATGGGATACAGTTTTGTATTCACTGTAAGTTCTTCGTATTGCCTCCCTCTTCAAGTTCCCAATGGCCAGATTTTGTATGGGTGTCTTTCATTTTATGACACAAGCAAATTCTTGATATGCTACGTAACCATGAATTTGTCTGTTATGTGAGTGAGGGGATAAGCTGCTTATGTTTTGACTCTATCCTATCAATGAGTTATCAATTAAGCTTTTAAGGGGAAAATCTTATCTGGAATAACAGCAACGACAAAAAGAATGATCTTGTTAAGTGAAACATTCAAACTAAGATTGGAAGCATGCTGCAATTGCGTTTTTTATTTAGTTTGAGAGGAAATGTAAAATTAGATTGTGATGAAGGTGAACAACGTGGCAATTTTTTATAAATAGCAATCTTTTAGATATTAAATTCACAAAAGCTGTAAAAATTGATTGTTTTCTTTACCTAAAGATCTAGTTCTAACCTCCACATCTAAATTATCCTGACTAAGAATGGGTGAAATGCAATCGCGATGTGGCTTCAAAGGGGTAACCTTGGGAATGCTGGGGGTGGTGGTGTTACTAGAGACCATTTGGGAACTGGTGTTTAGGTTTTAGCGGGCATTCTTGACACTTACTTAGTGACAGAACTAAGGGGTTTATTTGATGACTTGAATCTAGCTTGGGATCTGGGTCATAGACCTGTTATTGTCAAAGGTGATTCAATGGCGCATCTTTATAAACTCAGCCCGCTGTGAGAACTGGAATTCTTAAGGAAATTCTACTTCTCTCACAAAATTGGAATGTGAGCATTTTGCATGCATACAGAACTCGTGTTTCTTATTCGTATGCAAATTATGGCGGGGAGAAAGTGGACAACCTCATCACCTGGGAGATGTGATGTAATATGGAATAAGGGTTCAAATGTCTCTAATGGATAATCTTAATAACCTATATATCATCAAGACGACTTCTCCAACCAACTATTTGAACTTGTTTTCCAATTGTCAGGGGCTCCCATGCCTTGAATAGTTCTTTATGTTTGCACTTTCTGCTTCTTGGGCTGACGGCTCCATTTTACAATGATAATAATAGTAGTAGTAGTACCGGAACTTGTCACAAATACTTGTAAACCAAATTTATTTTTCTCCAACTGGCAGAATCAAACCATAGACCATAGTTGTCCTTGCTCCAATTTCAGCCGAAATCTTTGCTGTATTTGATGAGCCAGTGTTTTAGCCCAAGACACGTAACAGAAGCAAGAAAGTGGAAAGGAAGACATTTGGTCCAGAGGAGAGTGAACTATTAGCAGAGTTTGGAACTCATTCTTCAAGAGCCGAGAAAGGGAAGCATGGAATGACAATGAAGCTCCTAGTAGATAAAGAGTTTAAAGGGCGACATATTGTGAGGAGAGAGGAATAAGGAAGGGTTTTGTCTTGTCTGTGGATGAGACTCAGGCCTCTGTGATTCTCTTAGTTTTGTAACTCACGTCTTCACTGTTAGGGAGAGACTTCTTGTATTTTATAAACAATGCAAGAATTACTTAGAGGTTCCTTCAGTGTTTTATTTCTACTGCTAGGTTGTATCTTTCTGTCTGTGTGTGTGTGTGTGTGTGTGTGGAACAAAGATAAAAGTTGTGAATAAGAGAAGATATGGGAGACTCAGAACAAACTTATAAATGAAGGTAGACACACATATAAGGCATCTTCAATTAAATACTTACTTATTTGTGTTTCTCCTTCAGGATGCTGATATCATGTGGTTCAGAGACCCATTTCCACGCTTCCATCTAGATGCAGATTTTCAGATAGCATGTGACCATTACACAGGTAGCTCGGATAATGTAAATAACAGACCCAATGGAGGGTTCAACTTTGTAAAATCCAATAATAGGTCGATAGAGTTTTACAAATTCTGGTACTCTTCGCGGGAAACCTATCCTGGATACCATGATCAGGATGTACTAAATTTTATCAAGGTTCATCCTTTCATCACTGATATAGGACTGAAGATTAGATTCTTGGATACAGCCAATTTTGGTGGACTTTGTGAACCGAGCAAAGATTTAAATGAAGTTTGTACAATGCATGCCAATTGCTGCTTTGGTATGGTTAGCAAGCTTCATGATCTTCGAATTATGCTTCAGGATTGGAAACATTATTTGTCCCTGCCTCCAAGCTTGAAGAGACTGTCAATTATCTCGTGGAGGGTTCCACATAAGTGCAGGTTGGCGATATGCCTGAGCTATTTATTTTCTTTTTTTAACGTTGTCATAACTTTATTTTATTTTGCTTTAATGGTTCTTGACGGTGTTAAATTCCTTTTCAGCCTTGATTCTTTCCATTATCATGGTTCACCACAAAAAAGTGTTCAAGAGGAGTAGAAGATTATATTCTTTATGTCACCTGTCTCACTCATCAATGTGGATATTGAAACGCTCAAGTAAGGAGAGGTATATGTTTGACCAGGCTTAAACTATGGGGATTTGACTAGTTGCTGAAGATGGGTTTCTCAGACATAGGTTTGAAGGGGAAAGCTTTGTTTATTAGAATTATCATTCCAGGCAAAGTTGAATTAGGCATTATGAAAGATATAGTATATTTATTCAAAAGAGTAAGCGTCAACCTCGCGATTTTTTCGTGCGTTGTACGAGTTTGTCCGGCCAATAAGGTGTCTTCTCGTTTATTTTTGCCCAAATCCCTCAATCCAGCGTGTCATTTTCCCTCTACTATGAAGAGTAGAACTGATAAAAAATCTTGGTAGTTTCTTTGCTGTCATGAATTGATGATAATTAGGTGGGACTGGACAAATGATTTTGTTTTTTTTTTTTTTTGGGCTAGTGTTGAATCTATTCTTTCAAGCCTTTCCCTTCGATTTATTTTCAGTGCTTTGTAACTTTTGAAACTGTACTAATTTAGCTGTTAGTGAGTAAAAGTTGGTCATGCTTTTCGCCGCCTGCTTAATGCTGGCAAGATTGAAATGTATTTAGTTCGGAAAATCATTGAGTACAAATCATTCGTTGGGGAGCTTTCATGTTATCTGGTTTATGACCCTCGACTCTCTTTGGTACGAAGTTCCATCATTTGCCGGTGCTTCTGTCGCTATTATTATTATTAGTTTTCCCCGCATAGAAATCTAATATCTGCATACTATATTATATTATATATATATATATATATATAACCAAGGAGAATAAACTAAAATACAATGCGAATGTACTGCATCAAAACCTACCCACACAATATAAAGCGAGCTTCGAAAGCAAATCAATAACTTCGTTGGCATCCCTTGATATTCTCTAAATGTGTACCACCCAATCACGAGCCAAAATCGCTTGGACATCACCAACAAGCCCTGCATTCAAATAAGCAAAGGTTGTATCACTTTCGACCATGGTTTCCCCCTTTTTGAGTAATTGAAGTATCACATGCTTAACTATGCCACTTGCAATGAATGAGGACTTCTAAACAGATATAAAACTAAACATTGGGGCCACACGTGATGTCAGTGAATACCATATAGTTTTGTATTACTCTACTTAGATTCACCTTCACACATACATGATCATGCTTGCATGTATCACATTATCACAATAATATCCATGATCAACTCCCCATTATCATATATTAATTTCATAAACTCATATATAAATATGCACAATATATATACAGCTTTGCTTTCAAACCATTTAGCCTACTTTACATAGATTTATAAAACCCAACTCACACACACAGACATATATACATATATACATAATTATTCATTTAATAAAATCTCATAAATGATCTTACAAGCTAATAAGTAAGGTAGATTATCCCGTTATCTCAACTCTTTTGTTATCAAAAAGGATTACCTGCGGGATTTTGATGTTTTTCAAGCCTTTTGAAGCTCAAAAAAGTTCTAAGCAATTATAATCTACACAATTAAATGATAACCATCAATTATCAACTATAACATAAGCACTTCCTGACTTACTTAAACTACCCACGACGTTTAACTTTTATCGTTAGCTAAACTAAAGCCCTAACAATCTTTCATTAGTTCCAGTTATCTTTCATAAGGTTGAGAAATACTGATTTAGAGTCCACATTACTCACAATAATCAAATTTTGGTCTAGGGTTTGTCCAAACCCTACAGCTCAACTTCAAAACACCATAAAATCACTAACCATAAGTATAAAAACCTAAATTAACTCCAACAATACCAACAAACTCAATGGGTTCAATATTAGCCCAAGGAGAGACGAAATCATCATTCTCCAACACCCAAATCTACTGTGATATCAAGTATAAAGGTAAAAAAGAAGTGTAGGAAGCTTAACTAGCTCAAAATGCTTCTAAAGTGGTGTGGAATAAAATCCTTAGCATAGAACTTGCTATCCTCCATCACCTTCTTCATTTCCTCTTCTCCCTCTTCTCTTTTTCACAATAGATCGCAGCTTGTTTAATGAAATTATGTCTTGTTTGTTGTAATGCACATGGCATCCATCACGAAGGATGACACAAAAACCCAATTCTTTATTTTAGGCCTTCACTTAGGTCCAGTTAGCCTAATAGCCATCCTAGCCTTACTCTAGGCTTTCCAATAGACCTATAAGTCATTTGAAAGATAATTAACTTAGTTAATTCATTATTTTACTAATTTAACCTCAATTATTTTGATTACTCTAGGATTACAAATTTGGGGTGTTATACCAAGTGCCCCTTGTAACATTCTGGTTTTATTTAGTAGTTAAATTAAGAAAATTATGAGATTTAATTGAGAAATAAATTGTGTTTTGAAAAATGTTGAAGTTAATGAGTTTGCACTATCTTCCTATATGGAGAAAAGCTCAATATTGAAGGTCATTGTGAGTCTCACTAAATAAAGTGAAAAGGGATCAAATTAGTTATGAGAGCAATGTTATATTCAGTATTTAACTACAGCCATTGGAGAGTAAAGAAAAGAAAGTTGTTTTTGCATCTTCACAAGGTAGTCTCAGTAAATTAGCATTTGTGAATTTTTTTTTTTTACTATTGGATCAGGCCAAAATTTGGTCAAAAAGTTTTTTACATTCAAATAGTCATTTTCAACAATTAGATCATTGATTCATAGCTTGATGTGAGAGTTATTTACTTTTTCATTCGTATGAGATTTACCTAGATTAGTGAGATTAATTAGACTAACCCTAGGATTAGCATGAGATTAATGTAAGGTAATGTAATTAATTATAATTAATATGTGTTGTTCTCAACTTGTGTTTGGGGAACTCTTCTATTGAAGAGTAGATATAATCACTTATTAATTATGTGAATTTTGAATTATTAATTATGTGCATTCTATTATTAATTATGCATTCTATTATTAATTATGTGAATTTTGAATTATAAAATATATGTGTTGAGAACCCATGTATTAGGTTAAACTCTATTTTGTTGAGAAAATATATTGTCAAGTGAGATATTAATTATTTATGAGAGAGTGTTTACAGTAAAAAAATTGTATTGGAAAGCATGAGTTTTAATGTATTATGTATTTATGTATATTGGAATTATGATTAATTGCATGACATGTTAGTTTATGGTTAGGAGTCATATGTTAGAAAAATCTCATGGCAAGCTCCCCTTAGGCCCAATGGGTGGCACGTGTAGCTTAAACTAATTAACTTTTGGCTGAGTGAACTAAGTATTGATCATGGTGTATGGAGGAAATAAGGAATTGTCATGCCATATATATGTATTTGCAAAATTTTATATATATATATATATATTTAAAATATGTTTTATTCCTATTTAGCAATCAGCATATTTAATTACTTTACATGCTTTATTTTATTCTAGAATTGGTTATTGGGACCATCACATCTCATTTTCCGTGGTTATTGTTTTTACAAAAAAGGATTTAACTGGAGAAGCATCGACAGGTAATTGAGTGTATGTTGACACCCTTGGCCTATGTAGTCTCTCTTTTTGATCAAAGTAATGTATGGAATGCCTTAGGACATCTTTGTTTATTATGAGCGCATAGACCTTTTAATTTGAATTATCTTACATATGTTGGCCATAAAATTTCTATCTACTCCGCATGATACATTGTTTTATTTGGGATTATTTATGTTATAGTACTGGCAATCTATCCCTCATGGTCTAAGATTATTATTTGATTATTTGAGAGATATCCTTATGATTTATTATTTAAATTGTTTGTTTTAAAGTTGTTGGGAACTATTATCCATTATTCTAAATGTTTTAAAGGTTTTATATCTTTTTTTAGACTTATTGAATGAGATCTCATTTTAGTACTTCATTTTTATTTAAGTTATGTTATAAAATACTATGATAGATCTTTTTGGATTTGTGAAGCTTCTTTTTTATTGTGGTAGATCATTTTCTAGCTGATATTTGTGAAATATTTTAATTATGAAAAAGTTCTTTTTTATATTTTCTAAATGGTTATCTTGTCCCTTAATTACCCTAGTAAACTCTTTTCTATTATAGTAAAAGGTTTTTAAATTTATGGTTCTATCTTTTTTGTTATGGTAAGCCTTTTTATTATCATGGTAGTATTTAGAATAATATCTTTCACTCTTTGATATTATGATAGACTTATTTTTTAAAAATTTTGAATTTTTTATAATGGTATTATTTAAAATAAAATAAATTTGGTCTTTGAATAAGGGATGTTTCACCACTCAAAGTAGGTCCATCCTACTTTCTCCACATTATACCTCTTAGTTTGCTTCGTTACTCCAAGAAGGCGTTAATAACAGCTAAGATATGTGCATCTATCAAGGCATTGGAAGTAGCTTTGCTCTGAAATATCTTCTCATAACGTCATCTTCATAGAAGCCACGTTTTATTGCCTTGGACCGCACGTTCCGTCGAATCCTGTCTGCGGAGGGGTGTGATTGAAAATTTGAAACTATAATTCGTGATATTTTTTGTTCACTTGAATCTAAGCCTAATATTTGTTTCCCTTTGGTTCAAAGCCAATGGAATGCTGCTGCTGGTGTGTTAGCAGCTAAAGGAGTGAGGGAGATGTATCCCAACGGATGATTTGAAGAAGCTCCATTTCCTCTGATCTCAGTGCTGTTGGCTGATTCAAGAAAAATTGATTTTAATCGAGGTGTCATGAGTGGGCTACAGAATCGTGTAGGTATTGGTTGAAGGCTTGAGCTTGGTTTTGTTTTTCCTCTTTGTATTCCTTTATTGCTTTCTGTAGGTTGTATCGTTAGGCTTTTTCTTGCTTTCTCAGGTTGTACCTTTTATTGTTTTTTCTGATTTTTGTTGTTGTACTGCTTGGAGCTTTGTTTTGCTTTTCTTTTATTAATAAAATGGTTTTCTTTTGTGCAAAAAAAAAAAAAAAAGAACGCCCTTTCATTGGCATGGCCTTGGATCTTCAACTAGAATCATCTTATATTTGAATAGTATCTTATAGTGTTATAATTTGAGCCAAACTTAATGGGTTAACTTAATTTCATCTGAAAAATTTAGAGCCAAGCTAAAAAAAACTAAATAAAAAATATTTTAAAAAAATATATAAAATATAATAGATATTAATTAATTTTTTAAGTTTTATATCATTTTATGCTAAGAAACTATATATTTGAGTATTCTACTATAATTATTTTTTAGAAAAATAAAAATATTTATATTTTCATATTTTTATTATTTTTAATCAATAAAATATCTCAAAATAATATTTAAAATATATTTTAATATTAATTTTTATATTTTAAGACCTAATTTAAAAAAAAAGGGTTTTGAGTCCGATACATTATTTTTGTATCTTGTAAAATAATATAATTAATTTTAATTTAAAAATAATTTTAAAAATAAAATTCATGCATGTATTAATTTTTGACTCTACTACTAGATAAATATAATAAATAAAATTATATTTTTAGATAATTATTTAATTATTGTTCATGTCAAATTTGATTAAAAATTAAAAATAAACTACAATAAATACCCATTATATGTAAAGGTTGAATAATATAAAAAGTTAAATAAAAAAAATTTCAAAAAAAAATATTTTACTCATAGTTAAATGATTTTG